ATCTGATTTCTACTAAGCGTTGATCACCTTCGCCTTTTTCTCGAACATCGTCGTCGAGTTCACCACCACAACCTCCATTTCGCGCCCAAAGATCTTGGTAACTTCCTTCTTCACCCTCTCAGTCGTCTCTTCCGTTACTCGATAGTTCCTCCCATAATTAGACATTACGGTGACTCGCTGAACACCAGGCAGTGGTACGGCAGTCGCGACCGATGTACTCCTGAAGTGTCCGAAGCAACAGGCTGGAACTGCGATACTTCGTATAGCGTTGCACTGGTCCTGCGAGAGCGCTATAGTCTTTGGCAAGTGGTGCGTCGAGCGGCACAAGCCGATGAAATCGTTGAGGCTGAAAAGCATGAGCCCGGTCTCTGAGCGCGTTTGTCGGCAGGTTTGGCTGAGGACGAAGAGACATTCTTTGGGTATTCGTTTCCCTTTCGACGTATCGACTACAATGGTTGACTGTGTATTCAACCTTGGACTGATATGATGGCCGCCGAGGACATACTCGTATATAGCATTGCGTATCTCTCCGGGGAGACGAAGGAGTGGCGAGTCGCTTTGGTTTTGCAGGGTTCTATCATGGTAAGCGCTTCTGGTGAGACGAATGGATCGGTTTCTACCTCGCCTCCGCCGTCTTCTGAGAGAGACGTTCCGCCAGAGAAAACTCTTTACCGTTTCTGAGTTGCATTGTAGTCGGCAAGTTCTTTTATGTATTAGAGTTTGTAACGGTGATGTGGGTATGTGGTTGACCGACCTTTCCAAGATTATCTAGGTACTTCCAAGTTCTTAGCGACGCCGCACGTGCTGGTACCTAATTGGCTGGCAGGTGACGCGTGAGTCCCGCTTTGTAAAGGAGGAAGCAGCGTCCAAGCTTTGACCCGGATGCATACAATGAATCGAGATCTTAGTGCTCTTATATTTGCGATTACCTGAAAGAGGATGTTATGAACTCTGGAGGATTTGAGTGGCTCATGGACGATGTGTCGTCGTAATACCATGACTGTCTTGATGGGACCAAAGTATGGCTTTGCGTTGAATAGATCGTAAGGCACGCTATGAAGGTAGCTACAGATGATGATGTGCATATTCCTCATAACTTCGAGTCGCCCGAGAAGTTTGCGTACTCTTCTTCTTCCTGTCGCACACCCTGCCACATCTCGGCAACACGCCATAACCTTTCCATTCCAATCTTCTCCAGTAGACTTCCTCTTCTCTTTCGATACATCTCATCATACCTCTCATCATCGACCACCGTCGCACCGTCTTTGTCAAACACCAACATCTTGCCATCCTCAACCCACCCTTCGCCGTAGATATATCGGATGAACCGGTCTTGCATAGCCCGTGCTATCCTCCTGTCGGCATCACTGAAGTAAGGGTCGAAATTCTGCAAGAGATACGCAACATCGAGCTCGTGGGCTGCGAGGCCCTTGAAAGGCCCATCTATTGGGTTGGGGACGTGGAAGTGGTATCGTGAGGCTGGTCTTGGTAGTGAGAGAGCTTTCCACCCCCGATACGCTGCTAGCGCTGGTAGATAGAAGCGGAGCTCAGATGCGAGTACTAGCAAGCGCTCTCCCTGAACTTCCTTTGATACGTTGCCATCGAGACGATAGACCTGTAGGAGTCCGAGGGTCTCGAGTGGAGAAAGGTGCGTTTCGCACGCTTTAAGAAGACGCCCGAAACTGTTGGGCTGGTCGAGGAGTCGGCCTTTCAGAATGAGGGCATCGTGCTCCGTGTCGCCTATCACAAACTCCCTGCACCATGATGGCTTGTGTATGGCGCTTGACCCATCCATTATCGACTCGATCGTGACTTCTTGTGTGAAGAACTGGCCGTCGACTGTTGCGGCGAAATGCTGTGCTAAAGGTAATCTCTGAGCTAACTCTTCCGCATCGTTGTCCAATAAGATCCTTCTCCTGCTCTCGACATCGTTGCTATCGATTTTCAGATAGGTAGACTGGTCTTCGCACATCTTCTTGTGCCACCATTTATTCCTCCACTTGCGTAAAGATGCCTCGCCACTCATGATGACAACACGCTCAAAGAGTCCCTCGTCCCCAACGTTCGCGCAAAGGAGCGTTGATAGCGAAATCGCTCCTGCCGACTCGCCAGCAGTAGTAATGCTGTTCGGATCGCCTCCAAAACCCGCAATATGCTTCTTGACCCATCGGAAAGCCAGCACCTGGTCTTTATAACCCATGTTACCGGCTGCACCAATCTCATCGCTGGCCAGGAAACCAAATACGTTGATTCGATATGCCATTGAAACGCCAATGAAGGGTTTACCGGTTTCTACACCTCGCTGGACAAATCGAAGTAGATCATACTGTGGCCAACTGTTTGCTCCGATGCTGAGACCACCACCATGTACCCACACGAACACTGGAAGACCTCGTCCTCCACTCTTTGCATCGCTCGAGATATCCTTGGGCACCGTGACGATTACATTCAGGCAGTCGAACTCATCCATCCTCTCTGTATCGCCCTGACCAGGGCTGCAAGGCAAGACGGCATCTCCGACTAAAGTCAGGTCCCATGCCTGAGCTCCATGTAATTGTGGGCATGATGGTCCGAATTGCGTAGCGTCGAAAACCCCATCCTCCCCAACTTCAAGCCTATCGTCTGGAATCGAATCCTTGTATCGTGCCGGTATCGACGCGTACTTTAGGTTGCGAAACTGTGTTGTTGACGCGGATGATGTTCCACGCAAGGTCCGCTGTAGTGTGGAATGGTGCAGGGTACACTCTTCGGTCGACATTGTTTGTTTTGCGCGTACGCGTTACATTCCAAACTCTGCTCAAGATCTAGAACGGTATCTAGACTACATGTCATCACATACCCGTCTTCGCCAGCCACCCCGCGTGGCACCCCAGACTGTTGACACAGGGATGTGGGGAGATGTGGGGCTGGACCTCGGCAACGGAGACGGCAGCATCTTGCAGACGCATGCCGAAGATGTTGAGCAGAACATCGGTTCGTGGAACTAAGTCAACATACTAGAAAGTTGAAGTTGAGGAAGGACAGGAACGACAAGCAGGAATGCACGACTGGGCATGTCTGTCACAGTCTGAGGCGCTAGCCACGCGGGGACCGGGCATCTTCGGCCTTGTCTAGGACGCGCTCCAGCAGGTATGCTACACTCGGCGCGTTCAGCCATCAGTTTCGTATATCTCTTGCATTAGTCGCGCGGATGAGCATGAGAAACCCGAATACTATGACGGCACGGCGTGAAGGGCGTTCGGCCTGCACATATTCGGTGTTTGCCCAGCGTGTCAGCAGGCTGCATTAGCGCGTTGCCTACCGCCACCCAAGTACCATCTCGACACCACTCCTTAGGTCACTTCTGACCCAAAATTTATTTTATGGCCTACTAACTCCAGAATATAACATCGAGTAGCGGCTAAAACTACATTACAACGGTATCTGTCAGCTGGTTGCACATACCCGCTCCTTAACTCCATGGCCCCTACCTATCTAGGTCGATATTTGACCACATTAGGAAACGACTATGTACAGCGGTTCGTGTCGAAGTATGGAATGAAATCAGAGCTATAAAGGGAGCTCGGCCGGTCTTCGATCTATCATCTATTTACTCTGTCACTCTCATCAATATCCTCCGAACTGCTGATCACCATGCCTGGCTCCACCCCTACGAGACCTGTTGATTGCACGATTGACTTCGATGTCAGCCATCTAGCAGGAAAGACTGCTGTAATTACTGGAGGTATGCGCAGCCCTAATTCCAAAAAATCATAGTCGCAGCAGTAGTAACTGCTACATTCGTTGAAAAGCCAGCTAACCTCATTGGCAGGCGGCAGTGGCCTTGGGGAAGCATATGTCCGAGCACTGGTCAACGCAGGCGTAAAGGTGTGTTTCGGAGACCGCGATGTCCACCGCGGACAACAGCTTGCCTCCGAACTAAAAGACTGTCGCTTCGTACACTGCGACGTAACAAACTGGGACGACCAAGTCCGCCTCTTCAGCGAGGCCACCTCCCTATCCCTCACCGGCAAAATCGACTACGTAGTCGCAAACGCCGGCATCATACACGCAGACGACGTCTTCAAATTTGAAGGTCCCTCCCAACCACCCCAAAAGCCCAGCCTCGACATCATCTCCGTAAACCTTAACGGCGCCCTCTACACCACCAAACTCGCATCCCACTACTTCATGACCCAAAACGGCACTTCCCCATCCCCCTCCCAAACAGACACCTGTCTCGTCCTCATCGGCTCTGGAGCGGCTTACCTAGACTGTCCCCGAGGGCCCCAGTACAGCGCGTCAAAGTATGCGATGCGCGGCATCATGCATTCGCTGCGTCGGACGGCATACTACTACGGGTCTCGCATCAACATGATTTCGCCTTGGTACGTGCGCACGGGCATCCTATCGCACGAAGATTTTGATGCCGTGGAGAAGGCGGGGGTGCAGTTTGCCACGACGGAAGATGCGGGGCAGTGTTTATTGAGGATTCTGAGTGATGCGAATGTCAACGGGCGATCGCTTTTTGTTTCTGCGAGGAAATGGGCGGAGAGGGGGTATGTGGATCTGGATCTGGATGAGTACCCAGGCAATGGGTTGTTGGAGGAGATTCAGGCTGATCAGGTCAAGTTTGCGCCCGTAGAGGCTGGCCTATTTGTCTGAGCATCCGCTGGCCGATGAGATGCCCCTAAAAGATGATGAGTGAACTGTAGGCGAGGGGTAGCCTTCTTAGTAGGCACTATATTATTCCAAGGTGTCCGTTTTTCCGTACTCCATTTAAGTTGACATTGCACCATCTGCCGCCGTTACGTACTCCTCTATCGCAGCTAAGAAGAGACATTGTGCCCTATGCTTAAAGCTAGCAACACGTTGTTATGATTTGTCGACCCCAAGATCATCAGAAGGTCTGTTTTGAGAAAGCTGTGCAGAATTCGGGGACTACACTTTAGATTCCAAGCAATAAAACATGTAGTAAACACCTACGTACTAGGCAAGACCATGGGTTGATACAACGTAGCTCACGAAACCAACGTCCAGACCTCACTAGCGCTCGACAACCCCCAAACCCCTCCCGCCCGATCACCCACAACACTGACAGCCATGCCACTCCTATTGTCTATCATCTCCCACAATTCCGGCGTCCCAGTATATCTCCATAGAGTCCCATCACCGTGTCTACTATACAACAAGCCCCCAACAGCATATATACCCACACTTCCAGCTTTCTCAATCGTTTTCCAGCTAGGACCAGCAGTGTTCAGCCACACTACTAAGCCATCGCTTTGCAATTTGTAGAATTCGTTGCCGCCAACTGCGATGGCGATATTCTTCGCGTTGTCGTCAACGATGGCCCATTGGCCTGAATTGTGAGGCCATAGGGAGCGAACAAGATACCCGTTCGTGAGCAAGTTCCAAAGTGTTTTGTCGTCGGTGACGGCTATCTGTTTGGAGCCAGGGGCGGAAGGTTGCTCGATACTAAGCCATGTACTGCCAGAGAGCCGGGCTACCCATCCATCTTTGCGCCGCGAGTACAGTTGGTCGGATGCAGCGACGATCTCAATGACATTTGAGTCGGTATTGCTAAGAGCTTGCCAGTTCGATGCGCTGCCTGTCCAGCGGAAGGTACCTCCATCGTAGTGTCGTTGGTAGAGGTTTCCATTTGCACCGGTAATTTGGGCAGTATCTTTGTTGTTGTCGGCGACTACCCACGCACCATTTGAGTAGCGAAGAATCTGCCCCGATGAACGCATCTGGTACAGACCGTCATTGGCCGAAGCAGTAGCTGTGTTGGACGTGACTTGGATCATATTCGTGATTACTGAGCCTGAATCGATACGATTCCAAGCCGGGCTCCTCCAGCCGTAGATGCTGTGTATACCCATCTTGTCGTCTGGATGCATAGGGCGTATGCTACCATCGTAGTAGGCGAACATGATGGCTGCCTCGACGCCACTGTGGCTCATCCCGAGAGCGTGACCGATCTCATGAACAGCTGTATATCCAAAGAGACGGTCGTCCGTCCACTGGTAGTCGTCATTGAAGGTTACATTGATGTTGCCAGACGACATGGAGGTGCCATCAGAGACCATGGACGTAAAACCGTAACGCGTATCGTCTCGACCGAGGGGAGAAAAGCGGATGTTGATGTCAGCTTTAGCGTTCGAAGCTGCTTGTACGATGTTCAGGGGGATGTAGTTCATCCATTGGGCAAAAGCGGTACTGGGCAGCATTAGCGACAAGGGCAATTGGACTGGAAGACGAAATCGTAGAGATCAACCTGAAGAAAGTCCACACCATAGCCTACAGAATAGCAAACACCCAAAATGCGGAAGCTTGACTAACCTGATCGTGCTTTGCTGGCGCGCTGTAGACAGATCATTCGTGTAACTGTCGAAGCGCCATGTCAACGTCGCCTTTGCCCACTTCGGGCCCCAGAGTACGTATCGTCGCTCAATGTCCGAGGCGTCCTCTGCATCTGTCGCATTGTACGGTTGTTCCGTGCCACAACGCGGCCCGCTCATCATGTCCATCATTCTATCGCTGAAAGCCCCAGTGACAGGCTCTTTGAGCTTCTTTTGTATTTTTCGTATGGCTCTCGGAAGCTCGCTATCTGATACGGACGCTCCAGGCTTAAGCCAGCCGTAGAGTCTATAGAAGTCGTTGACATGCTTGGAGTGCTGCCTTTGATCGATTGCCGGAGATGGAGGTGGGGTTGAATCCGGTGATGCTGAAGTTGCGCTTGGTATCAGAGCGGTAGTGCCTCGGGCGAAATGCTGGTGAGGTGATGCCAAACAGGAGCGTAGGGTTCCGAGTAGGAGGAAAGCAATGGAGAATCTCGCCATCTTGCAGTTCTCCGTACACTAGACGAAGACTGAGCTGTAAGAATGCGGTTTCCAGTTCGACCTTCATTGATATCTCTTTTGTATTTCAATGTCACCCAACCAAAGCGTTCCAACATCAGTCCAACCCGATTGTAGCGAGGTGGTGTGTAGGCGCGTTGGTGGGGGGCCATGAACCGTGGTTTGAGGCTGTCTTCATCATCAGATATGCAGTGCCCAAAATAACTTCCACTCATGTATTGTTTGGCACACTGAAGGAGCAATCGTTGCCGAATCGAAGGGAACATGAACGCCACTCTACTGCTGACCGGGTACATTCCCTTAACAAAGGCCTTGTATATACGGGGATGACAGTGAATTGGCGCAAGCGTTCCAGTACCGTGCCGTACTCTGACATGGGATCTCGTGGGAAGGACAGTCCAGATGCCATGGTACGGGTTCTGTGTAAGATGTGAATACTCACCCATGCATCTTCCGTCCAGTCTGCTTTCCTGAAAGTTTGAATGCTGTGCCACACTGCAAGCCGATTTTGCAGTAACGCGTACACCTCGGTGACTCCGGTCATGAGCCATACCTTCACGCTTCTCTAAGTCAGCTGAGCTCAATAATGCCCTCATTATATAGCGAACGTCGACATTTCATGCAGTCAATCTAGTTGAGCCTCACCACCGGACTTTTCTATGTGCGTCTTGTACAGGAACTTTCGACAGTCGAAGATCAGCCGCGGTTCTACTCGAATGTAGATTGAACTCCTTTACGGGATCACGAGACGTGAGATTGGGGGCATCTAGATGAAACCCCGTCCACTTCCAGCCCCCCGAAGCTAAAAGGCTTGACCCGGGGGCCGGATGGAAATGGTCAACGATCGAATTCTGGAGCGGACTGCTGAGCTCTGGCGCGATCAGCGAAGCTATTGCCACAGCTGCCAATGGTGCACCCGTGCGGAAGGTGTGATAGTATGCCTAATACAAGGCTGGTAGGACCTCAGTTGCAAGTGGAACAACATGTCAACCGTATTCGAGATAACTGCATATTGTAACTATAATAGCTGTAATATACCGAACGAGTTGGTGGTGACACTGCGGGCGGAAGATCTGCGTCACGTCCATAGCCGGAGATTGGCGAACCTCGGAGCTACGGCAAGCTTTTAGCAGTCGACCCTGAGATTTATATCCGGTAAGTGTACTTGACGATGAGGCATTTTGGTTTCGCAATGATGAAAGATTCTGGTAGTAACCAGCTTGTCGATAAAGGGCGTCTTGTTGGGACGAACGCATAGGCGGCGGGCGGCACGGTTCGGGGCGCTTGCTGTGCAGTACAAGATCTTACTGCGTTGTTGGTATAGGGTGCTGATTGGCAATGATTTGGAGGTCACGTAAGGAAGTTGTTGGTGGGTGGACGCCATGAGAATTGGGCAAGGACCAAGGGAGAGGGAAAGAGGTCGCGTCGCGTCCACGGGTGCGACACGAAACGGAAGCCGCGCTAGGCCCGAACCGCACCACCCCAGCAGGACAGGCAACTACAGATTCTATTGAATTGGCGCAACGCATTGATTCCATTGATTTGCCTATTACATGTCTAACCACCCATGACCTTTTTTGGCTGGCACAAGCTATGATTTCGCCTCTACATGGCTTTGGACGGAAGTTCTGAGTCGGCCTTTGCAAGCTTGTCACTATCCCTCTTGCCTTGCGCATCTTCGTCATTCTTGCCTTCCTCGTCACTACCGTTCTTGCCTTGCTCAAAACCCACCTTCTTGCCTTGTTCTAAGCCTGCAGCATAACCTCGTTCATAGCCTTCCCTGCGACCTTCTTCTCTAGCAGCTATCTCTGCCGCCTGGATAAGAGGCTGGCGATATTCCTCCTCTATCTGAACAAGCTTATCGATGGTCTTTTGAATGATGTATTTCGACGAGGTAATGAGGCCAGCTGCGAGCTCGTCCACCTTTTCATCGAACTTCTTCCGAGCTATCGCCTGAGGATTAGGTGTTGTATTAGGCGCTTCCGGCGAAGCTGTAGTAGCATCGGGTGCGTCTGATTCGGGGTCCCGTTTCATCTCAAGGAGGTTCGGCATTGTGCCCTGGTACTCTTCAAGTGTCTCTGCCTCTTCACGCTCTTCGAGACTGCTTTTCGCCGTGACCTTGTTTTCTCCACTCATGTCTTCTCCAACTGTGTCTTCCTTGACTGCGCTTGGAGATTCGGCGGCACGGTCCGTCGCAGACGTTCGATCACGATCAGATGGCGGATCGGCTAGCTTTGCTGACGGTAATGATACGGAACTAGTTGATAGATTCCGTGAGCGCTTACGGTTTGCGGGTGGGCTACTCATATGGTGCAGTGGACTTGCTAGGGTGAACAGCTTTAATTGAGTCTTGTCTTGTCTTGAGATTGGTGGCTGATGTTTCTGGTGATGTACGTGTTCATATAGTGGCTGCTGTGTTTGGTAGGAAGTAACTAGCCCTTTGTGGAATGTTTGTCTCGGACGTTTCGAGCGTTTGTCGCTTTGTCAGACTATGCATTGCCTCTCCGTAGGGATCAGGGAAGGGACTACCGTGCATATCTCAAGCACAAGATCTACGGAGTTTGCGTGCAGTCAGTCTATGACCGGCATGATAGCATGTCACTTACTGCGGCTCCCTACCATCTCACACGTAGCTCTGTGGGGTCCCGTCACTGCCTGCAATTCATCACATGCAACAGCCCGTTTTGTGTTCGAGATAGTCCAGTCCTCGTGGGTATACCGCTGGAGCCAGAATCGATTGATATCATCTATGCCACACTATGCATCCTCATACGCACGCCATTACTCCTACCGACCCATGCTGTTGATCATCTCCCTCTGTGTCGCGCGGTCCCGGTTCGTCTGGCTGAGTGATGGGATGCTCCTCAGGTCACCCACAACGTCCTTTGCCTTTCCAAAGTATACCTCCTGCAGCAGATTGCGCATCTTGAGCTCCATGTCCTCGACCATCTTTCCAATGTTGGCGACGTGCGAGGTGTCATCCTCGACGGCCATGTCGGCTTCCACTTGGCGCACCATATTACCGGAGAGGTCAAGACCGCCGAGCGCTTCGCTGTCGGTGCCGAGGGAGAGGATGACGGTGGAGGTGAGCTTGTAGTGCGAGGTGCGGGCGCGGTCTTGGGCGTCGAAGACATGGATGCTGTCCCAGCTGCCGGAGCTCTTGGGCGTGGGGTTGACGGCTGCGTGCATTAGCATGTGATGGATGTGTAGACCCAAGACTACGTACCCTTCTTAAGCAGGACACAGCCTGCAAAGCCGTCGTCCATGTCCCACAGGTACACGCTCGATATGCCGCCCTCGAAGTACCTGTCTATATCAGCCAAGCTCTCCAAGCTGCCCCTTCCCCTGTGTGCACTCACAGCTCCCGGTACACGTCAAAAGCCTCGTTCGCCTTGACCTCCATCTTACGGACACGATCGCTAGGCGTGACACCTTCCTCAATGGGCGGCTCGAACTCGTTGCTCCACGGACTCCTCCAGCTGTCGCCGTCGCGGTTGTAGTCGCAGCACAGGAAGTCGCGCTTCGTCTTGGAGCATTTCTTGACCGTCAGCGGTATGTCGACGGACTCGAGCAGGTCCTCTTCCAGCGAGGGGTTAAGCTGGATAATGTGGTCGACATTGCGCTTGACGTCCTTGGGGTTCAGTCGGCGGAGAAGGTCGCTGTCACGGCTTGTTAGCTGTCGCCGCGGGAAAGGCGGGGTCGGGGAAGTCTCACAGGGCGCTGTCAATGGGGTCCGCCATGATTCTGATTCGGGTCTTGGGCGTGTATCGCTCGGGCGTGATCAAGGTCGGGTTGCTTGAGTATCGCTTGGGTCCTAGCCCCGTCCCCTCAATCTCCAGCGGCTCGTCAGTCGGCGATTCGCTGGCCGGCCCACACGAGTCAGGCGAGTACAGGCGTTGGTACCCCATCCCCGCGACGCGTCGATTCACGCAACAACACCTCAACTCTCTTTTTCGTTGTCGCTGATTATCGCGTTGTATGGGTTGCTGTGCATTCCAGGAAGGGTGTTTGTCTTCGCGTCACAAGGCTTGTGGCAGCAGCGGCCTGTTTCTGTCTCCTTCTCTCAACAATCGCGACTTCCGTCGTCAAGGACGAACTCTTTCACTTCCATCATGACGTGTTGTCAGCGCTCTTCAGGGCTTTCTTTTGATCATGCTAGATGTCATGTCTCGTCTCGTCGAATAAGCGCTTTTCGTTGTGGCAATACAATAGAACTCGTTGCGAGTATGCAGACAGTCGTTTGCATTGACTGCCACTTTTGCTCATGGAATACCAAGCAAGAAAGAGCTATCGTCATATCATTTATACAAGACATGAGGGGGTAAGACCTCTGAATTCCAAAATGTCTGCTCTCATACCATATCACGTAAGGCAGTCCGATATCGAGGTGCGGCTCACCTTCACTTCGTCGTGGCGCACGTGTGCGTGTCCGATGGC